CCATGAATGTTAAAACTGTGCAACCTTTAAATACAGGGATGAAAATAATCATTGATTGTCAACATACAGTCATGAACGGGTTGATATGGAAATCGAAGCTAGAGTTGGGGGAAAGTGGCATGARTTTTTACTGAACAATATGCTAAAATTGGGCGAAAAGCGCATTATTAAAGAGGATTGTGATCAAGCCCACAATTTAAAATGTTTTTGGCATGATAAAATTACAGAAGTCGTGTAACACTTAAAAAATTATTGCAGGGGCATTAACTTTTTAAGGTCATGCCTGAATATCAGTTTTAACTCCTTTTCATGATGAAAAGCCACCATTTCCYTTTTTAAGGAATAACACGCACCTTTACTTTTTTAGAAAAAAGGAAAATTCAATAAGTAAACTGAGCATAATAATTTTATTGTCACAATCAATACAAAATATCAAAACGTTATGACTCAAAATATTGTATAGCTAGTTGCATTTTCCCTCGACAACTGATGAAAAGTGTTCATTTTGAGAGTGTTTATATCGGCAGTGGTGGCATTCCGGATCTTCACAAGGTTGTCGCAGAACTGCATTTGGACCAGTAGMACGGTTTTCAAAGATATAATGGACTATTCCAGCATTGTCTTCCAGATCCCTGATGAGAAATCTCCTGCCAAGACCAGGTATAAAAGATGTTCGAACGCAGACACTTTTTAAACCTTTTATTGGGTCTGGTGGCGGAATAATTTGCCTGTTTTTGGAGTTACCATGAGATCTTTGACGAGGCTTACCATTTAGTTGTGTCGTAAATGTATCCGTTGTTTCTGGAATGACTTGGCCATTTTCGAGGATCGTCGAGTCCGCCATAGAAATATGGTTAGACCTTGGACGAGASTCTCTCCTGAACATTCTTGCTATCTTGCTTTGGCTCATGTTATAGTATTTAACGGTTTTTTTCGTTTTGCTCTTTCACCGTTGCACCGAGTGATTACCTGACCTGCACCTGAAAACTCTACGAACAGAATGGCTCGTTGGTGATCATATATTCAGTATATTTGTTGTTTGCTAATTTGTTTTTGGCTCCTGTTGATATAATTAAATTACATTTATCTATATACCGGCTTGCTTTGCGSCATATGCATTTTTTCTCTCTAAACATCATGAATATGTTCTGGTATACAATATATTTTTAACAAGGGATATTTCKCAGTTGTGATATGAATGCAAGAGCAATGTAATGATAGAATATTTTTCTACCTTTGCTATTTATTTGTATTTTGTCGAATTGTTTTTCTCGCGAGCGTGCGTCGAGTGCGTCACGGCTAAAAAATTTTCAACCGTAGCTATAGTGACGTCTAATTTGACAAGAAAGCTAGATTGCCTAAGCAAAAAAAAGTTAATTGAGTTTGTTTTTCATAGTGTTTACCTCATGGGCCATAGATTGCTCGTTCTAAATCATTCCCATGGGATTTAAAAGAGATCCATGAGATTGGTTGAAAAAATAATACTATAATTACTGAAATGAGAAATCCATCGGTTAACAAACGGTGACAAGGACCTTATTAGAACACACACCGTGTCCAGGTAACGCTAATTATATAGAATTTTGCCTTGRA